TGGCCTTGAACTTGCAGCGAACCTCCTGCCTCAGCCTCCTGAGTGCTGGGATTACAGGTGTGTGTCATTATGCCTGGCTGCTAATATTGTTTTTTCTTAACTAAGGTTAGAGGCACTGTACCAGGCAATTCGAGTATGGCAGAAAATGCAATAGCCTGGTTTCCTACCCTCCTGGAAATTTGTTGTGGAGGATTGATAGACAAGAAATAATTAGGCAAGTAATTAGTTACAAGGCTGTGATACGCCAGTGCATGAGAAATACCTGGCCCCATGGACCATGTAATCAGCCCCCTGAGCAGGACCTGAGAGTCGGGGATCAGGACTCAGGGATGGAGGTGTGAGGGAGGTGACCTGAGAGTAGAGGCATTATGTGTGGTAAAGGTGGGCTGGGCAGAAGTGGGCAGTGAGCATTCCAGCAGCTGGAGTGGTGTGAAGGCCAAGGTAGGACCAACTTTGGTTGACAGCCCCTGGGAAGCCTGGTGTGGCTGGAGGTAAGTGCAGGATGGGGAGCGGGGCTTGGGATGACAGCGGGACAACTGAAGGAGTGCAGAAACCTGGTGACTATGGGAGGCACCATCTGTGTCCCCCTCTGGGCCCCATGGCATGGTCTTGCCCTCGTCAACAGACCTGTGTCACCACTCTCAGTGCCTTGGACTGAGATTTTGAACAGAGATAGACGAATAGAGATAATGTTGAGAGCAGAGGTGGAGCAGAGGATGGGGCTGAAGACCAAACAAGTAATTTGAACTCAGGACGGGGCTACAGAGTTGGCATTAGGGTGAGGAATGGGACTGAGGATGTTAGAGATGGGGGTGGTGCTGTGTCTGGGGCTTAGGAATGAGAGAATAGTGTGAGTGGGATGGGTTATGGGTGGTAGTGGAGGTGAAGTTAAAGTTAGGCATGGGACAGGAACAGTGATGGTCACAGCGGAAGGGACTTGAAGGGGTGAAAGACAGCTTGGGTAGGGATGGGGATGTGACTACAGTTGGGAACGGAGAAAGATCCAGTCCCCCCCACCCCCCACCATTGTTTCCCAGTGCACATGATCTTTTCCTGGGAGGAGGATCGCAAGATCGTCCTGCGGATCTGGTCTCTTGTCTTCAGCATCCTTGCGACCCTCATGTTGTTCAGCACGATAGATGGGCAGATGGCTTACGTGCAGGGCTCCTACACTGGCTACATCGGCTTCTGGACTGACTGCAAGAAGCACAAGTGTGCCAACCTAGGCCAAGTCACCGGTCAGTGGGGCTGGCCTGGGCTACGGAGCCCTCCAGACCAGCACTGGGGTGACTGGGGTGGAGACCTCCTTTGAGTCCCTCTGCAGCAGGAGCATAGGCTCTTCCCGTGCCGGGGAGGGTTGTCTGAAGATTCTCTAAGGTGTCTTGAGGCTGCTTTTGTGGGCGTGGCCTCGAGGAAGTGATGTAGCCGACGTGGCCGGGAGGGATTTTGGGGGTTTCTGTTGGGCAGTGATTGCTCATGGGAATCCTGGGGCAGGCTCGAGTCTGTGATGACTGTGGATGTTTCTCACCTGCTCCCAGTTGACATCCACATGAGCCAGGGCTTCATGATCCTGGCCCTGGCCCTGTGCCTATTCCTCCTTCCCTGCATGGGCCTCTCCTTCTGGTCAGTGTTCCACCGCCTCAACAAGATCGACACAGTCTTTAGTTTCCTCAGCTTCAGCATTGGTAAGTGGAGGCTCAGGCCAGGCGCGCCCCACCCGCCTGCTTTGAGTCGGTGTGCCCAGCTTCCCCCTCCCTCAGTCTGTCCGCCCTTGTCTCCTGCTGTGTGTCTCCGTCTCTCTTCCAGCACAGTGTGCATGGGGTCCGTTTTCCACTTCTTGCTTATTTCTCTTCTCTCCAGGTAGCTTTCAGTCTGTCACGTGTGCGTGTCTGTGTTTCTGCTTGCCTTGGAGGGTGGAAGAGAATGTCTGTCTTCTCTTACTGTGTGTCCATGGGTCACCGTCTCGCCCCCTGTCCGTCTCTGGCCCCACCCCAGTGCAGGCCTCCTGATTCTCCTCAGTTTGACGCTCTTTGTAGTCAACTGTAAATCGCTACACCCGAAGCCCCAGCTGTCTTTCCAGCAGACTTTCTACTTGTGCTGGTGCGCCTGCGCCTTGATGCTGTGCACTGGTGAGGGCGGGGCCTCGGAGGGGGCGGGGCCGGAAGGGGCGGGACCAGCATCGCGGATGGGCGGGGCCCATACCCAAGTGCCTGCCCAACTCCTCCTCCCCAGGAGCTGTGTGCTACTTAAACCAAGCGGGTGTATGGAGCACTGGGGTGCCTGCCACAGAATGGCGAATAAGCTATCGCCGGTGGACCGTGCAGTGTGCCTCGTTGTGCGGATCCCAACAGAAGGGCACAGACCACAACCTTAAGCATACTCAGGACCTACCTGGTCGCAGCCCCTCCAAAGAGTAACATTCTAGCTCCACCAGATCCTCACTGGTCACCCTGACCAGATGCCGCCCACTGCTCTGCACCACCACTTCCGGTGGTTAGTCGTCCCTGAGGCCATGCCCACTGAAGAGGGGTCATCTCTGCCCCTTGGCCCTGACCCCGCCCAGTGGGTCTCCATAGTGCCCCACCTCGGAAGTCCAAGCAGGCTCCTCCGTTCTGCCCCTCCCAGCAGACGCCCGTCCACCTTCGGTTCCCTGAGCCCCAGCTGAAGGGCTGATTTGTGTGGCCCCATCCCAGGTGCCTGGCTCACACTCCTAAGCAACTCTCCCGCCTGTCAGCTGGAGATCACTCATCAGAACTTCTCCCTCAGAGATCCAGTCCCTTGCCAGCTGCGCTCCTGGCCGAGGTGAACGTACCGAGATCTAACATTGGTGTTTTCCGCACTTCTGTGGAACAGGCTCCTCCCTGTAAGGGTGTGTGGCTTGTCAAATTATCCCTCTGCCCCTCTCCTGGCTTCCCTCCATAATAAAAGACAGGTACCATCCAACCTCTTGAAGTCGTCCTCACCTGGCCCTCAGGGCAGGGAGGCGGGCAGTGTGTCGAACTGGCCTGTATCCCTGACTTGCCCTGTGGGGTATGGGCCTTTTCCTCCCCTCTCTATGTCATGTGCCCTTCCTTTCCCCCATCTGCTTGGGACTGCACAACTGGGAGCCATGAGGACAGTCTAGCCTGGGCCCAGTGGGTCCCAGGTGGATGTGTGTGACCAGGACGCAGAAGGTCACATAATGCCAGGACCTGACGCTCACTTGAAGCATATTTGGTTTTATTGGGAGCAGAGACAGTGTGAGGCATTCAGGGGTTTTCTGCTATGGTGTCTTTTATCCACTTTAGGTGTTTTTTAACATTAGTGTAGATGGCGGGTGAGTTGGGGAGGGCACACGTCATGTCGCCCCATGATGTGATACCTTGCAGCACACCATCACAGATCAGTGGGCCCCCTGAGTCACCCTGGGGACACAGAGGGAGAGAGGAGTTAGAAGACTGGAAGGGGCTTTGTTCTACCTGCAAGCTTAGCTTTGGACCTGGGGACATCAGAGCCCACTTCCAAAAGGCAGGCTGGTGGAACTGGGGATTGAACTCAGGTCCTTGTGCTTGCCAGGGAAGCGCTTATTCCACTGAGCTATCTCCTTGGTCCCAAAGGGTGTTGGTGTAGTTTGTTTATTTATTTATTTATTTTTTGTGGTGGAACCAGAGATTGAGCTCAGGCCCTTGCGCCTGCCAGGGAAGCACTTATACCACTGAGGCATCTTCCTGGCTTTTTTTGTGTTGTTTTTTGCGGAACCGGGATTTGAACTCATGCCCTTGCGCTTGTCAAGCAAGCGCTTATTCTACTGAGCTATCTCCCCAGCTCCAGGCATGGATTCTGATGCAGGAACAGAGTGCTGGGCAGAGGGGAAGGGACATCCAGGGAGAACAGGGCCATCTACAGACCCTGATCCTGCAGGCTTTCTCCGAGTAGACAGCACAGGTGGTGCTGGGAGTGGCAGGATGACATGGAGCATAGCAGGTGCAGGGGTTGGGGTGGGAAGGGAAGGAGGGGCTGATGCCCGCTTAGCTCTCAGCTCAGAATCTGAGTGCCCTGCCCCAGCCCTTCCACACCCCCCGGGGAGGGGCTGGCTCACCACACAGGTGTCTTTGCCGCCTGGCAGGTACCCCGCACACAACATGTAGTCTGTCACCTTCTCGATGTGGGCATCTTCACACTTCTTTTTAGGCAAGAGGTCAAGGTCCACGCACTGCAGCTGTTCTGAGAACACATCTGCAGGCCAGGGCAAAAATGAGTTGTGTGCAGACCCAGCAGTTCCTCCCCCCTCCTGGGGTTGCCCAGGCCACATGGTCTGGCTGTGCCTTACAACGGCTGGCATCCGTGCTGCCCCAGCCTGAGGCCACGCATGAGGTCCCCAGTGCTGCTGCTTCAGTGGGCAGCTTCGCGACCTTCACGGCGTCTGTGATCTTGGCGGGCTCCTTCAGGTGCAGCAGCAACAGGTCATGACTATAGTCATCATCTGGGTGGCGAGGGTGCGGCTTCAGGAGGCTCATGTTGAACTTGGGGTGAGGGATGGCCTTGCTGACAAGGATGTGCTGGAAGGTGGCTTCATCTTCATATAGGTCGTGGCGACCCAGCCAGACCTGGTAATTGCTGGGGAAAAGGGGGTGGCGAGAATGAGAGGGAGGAAGGGACGCAGGAGGTGGGTTGGGGGAGGCATGGACAAGGGTCCTGAAGGAGAGAAAGAGAAGCAGAAAGAGGGAGGGGACGAGGAGAGAGGGGAGAGGCAGCTGCGGAGGACAATGAGAGGATGAAGGAAGGTGAGGTGAGAAGGGGGAGCACAACAGGACAAGAAGGAGTGCTGGAGGAAGGACAGATGGGTGAGGAGGCAGAGGGGAGGAAGCCGAAAGGACACACACAGGCTGAGACACAGAGCAGCCGGAGGCCAGAGGCAGAGAGGTGTTGGGACAAGGAGAGGAGGAGGCTGGGCTTGGGGGCCTGAGAGCAGCTGGGCTGCAGCTGGGCAGCGCTGAGGGCTCCCAGCAGGCGGCCTGGACCTCAGCCCAAGGCCAGGGACACTTCTGCCCTCTGGCCCCTCCCACCCTGTCCCTTCCCTTCCTCCCAGCCCAGCTCAGGCAGCCCTTTGTTGAGCCTCCCACCTGGACACCCGTCCTGTAGAGAGGGGCTGAGCCAGGTGAGAAGCACCCCACACAGGTTGGGATGTACCCCTCTTCTCCTCTGGGGTTCCCTTGGCCCATTCTGGGAGTGTGGTCAGCAGTAATGGGAAGGGGACTGAGATGGAGGTTCAGAGAGGGCTTGGATAGGGGACACACCATGATACAGAGGGCCTCAGAGACACCCAGACAAGGACAGAGGTGGGGGAGATGCGGAGGCACTGGGACAGGAGACAAGGAGACAGAGATGCAGAGAGAGACCCAGGCAGCCCTACCCCGGGTGGCCAGCCAGTGCCTCTCCTGTGGACTGGAGCAGCACCTCCCTGATCCCTCAGGCCAGCCTTGCCCAAGGTCATCCTGCAGTGGTGCTGGCTGTTCAGTTCTTGGAGCCCTGTGCCCTTCTCCCCAGAGCCCCGTACTCACTCCTCTATGCAGTGGGCAGCTGTGAGCACCCAGCTGGGGTCCACCAGGACGCCCCCGCATGTGTATGTGCTGTATCGGTACACAGCCACCTGCCAGGGCTGGGAATGTGGCACACACTCCTGGCCTCCTACCACTCGAGACTGGATGGGTGGCGCCGCACCTGTGGGAGGGGCAGCAGCAGGGAGGTTGGCAGGGGCTGAGGCCTGGGCCTGGAGAGGGGCCATGCAATGTGTTTGAAGGGGCGGGGAGACCAAGGTCCATGGCTGTGGCTCTGAGGACAGGGCCAGGGGCTTAGGGGGTGGGGACCTGAATTCAAGAATTGTCCTGAGACTGAGTTAATAGCTGGTCCTGAGTGGGGAGATTTTTTTTTTCTGGTACCAGGGATTGAACTTGGGACCTTGCACTTGCCAAGTAGGTGCTTATGCCACTGATCTATCTCTCTGGCCCTGGGTGGCGAGGTTTAAGGTCTTGAGCTGAGATGAGCCTGGGAATCGACAGAAAGCAGAAGACAGCAAGCAGCATCAGGAGTAGGGCTCAGGTCGTTAGGGTCCCAGGCTGAGGGATGGGAGGCAGGGTGTTTGGGATAAGGGCCCTGTGGAAGAGGACCAGAGGCTGCGGGAGGGGAATTTGGAATATTTGGGGGCTCCTAGGCCAGGGAAATAGAGCCCAGATTGGGATTTTGGGGTTCAGAAAAGGATGGCTCTGAGAGAATAAGCTTTTCTGGGCAGAGGAATTGTGTGTGTGTGGGTGATTTGGGATCCCCAGATTGGCCTGGGAAGGTGAGCTGCGCTGGGAGAGTTCAGGGTGTGTATGTCAAAGGGCAAGGAAAGGAACAGGGTTAAGGCAGGCTAGGAGTGGGCTCCTGCGTGGCTGCGGGGTCCTCACTCCTGTGTGTGCGGGAGGGAGGGAGACCCTGAGAACAGGGTTGTGGCCAGGGTTGGGATGGGGCTCCGAGGGAGGGGGGACAAGTGGTAGTCCTGGGGTTGAGTGAGGGCTCAGTTCTGCTCATGGGATGGCGTTCGTGCTCTGAGGGTCCTGGTGGCAGTCCCAGGACAGGCACGGAGAAAGGGTTAAAGCGGGCCAAGTCACCATGGAGATGCCTGGTATGGGGCATCAGAGTCACATATGGCGGTCTCGGGGGAGCGCAGAGCAGGATGGCCTGGCTGGAGAGTATCTGAGATCTAAGGGTCGAGCCCAAAAAAGCCAGAGCTATTTCAGAGGAGTTTAGGCGAGGAAGGGAGGGAATTTGGGGGTGGGGGTGGGATTCTGCACAGCCAGGAGCCTGTGGTGGGGTGGGAAGGCTGGGTACCCTTACACCAAGACGGGCAACCTGCCTGGTGTCACATGCCACTTAGTTCTGGAAGCAGGGTTGCCTGTGAGGGACTTGAAAGGATGGTGGGGACCAGGTGTCAGCGTCTGCAGGACACAGCTGAGAGCTGACAGCTGGACCATGAAGGCCACTAGGATTTTGGGTCTTAGGATTCAGGCTGCTGTGCCCCAGAGAAATAGAGAGCTGATGGGGAGGGAATGGGGGGGAGATCAGTGTCTCAGAGTCTGAGAGGCACCGATGGCTCAGGATTGGAACTGGCTAGGAAAGAGGGGGGAGTAGCACCCTAGGGTGGGAAGGTTGGACTAAGAGGGGTTTGGCCTTGTGGAAGGGCTGGGAGAGGCAGGAGAAAGCCTAGCACCCTGGTCTGGGTGGTCTGTGGGCCAAAGGGAGGGACAGATGGTGGGGGGAGGAAAGCACGAAAGGCAGGGTCTCCACACCCCCGCGTTTACCACTCTCACCTGTCTCCCACAGGAACAGAGCGAGGCACAGAATCGGGAACCACATGGTATCAGAGGTGTCCAGGGCTGGGCAGGTGGTGAGCTGCTCCCTGGGGAAGCTCCTTGGGTAGCCTTTAAAAGTGCTATTCCCCAGAGCCCCGCCCCTGCCCTGCTGGCACTGAGATGCTGGCGAAAGCTCCGCCTCTACTGGCAGGTCCCCAGAGCCGCTGAAGCGGGGTGGCCCTGCACCTGGTGTCCTGCAAGCACTGGGTCAGGCTGGGTGCATTCCCAGGGCTGAGGCCAGGCCCTGCGGCTCCTGAGGTCTTGCTGTGCAGGACAGGGCCAGGGAGGCAAGGTGGAGGGGGAGGATTGGCTGAGCCCTGCACAAAGCCCCATACACTAAGCTCCAAGTAAGGCCTCATACACGAAGACCCAGTGTGCCCTCAGATACCAGCAGTGAAGACTAATTCCTTGTGCCACTCAGAGCCAAGAGAGCAGCTTTTCACCTGCCATCTATTCTTTTCTATAGAAATTTATTTTTATTTTTTATTTTTTAAATCTTCTCATCATCTTTATTTTTATTATGTTTATTTATGTGTGTGTGTCTGTGGCCAGCTCAGCCCACCAGGGGGCGGGGCTGGCTGGCATGTGGTGCTGGGGGATTGAACCGCAGTCCCAGTGCTTTGCTAAGCATGTTCTAAGTAGGTGCTTTAGACCACTGAGCCATCTCACCAGCCCCATGCCATCTATTCTTGATATAGAAAGCGTGGCTTTCAGAATTCACCGATTCTTGTGCTCCCAACCCAGTACCAAGTGCCTGCATTTATTGTTCTGCCCCTAATACGTATTTTTGGCATATGCTGCCACAGTCCTGGCACTCTTAGGTCTAGGAATATGAGATGTCAGGGGTCTCACAAAGTAAGTTCTCTAGTACTTTAAGATCCATGTCCCCCAACAGTGGAGGGGTCACAATGACCCTCAAACTCCTTATTCCCAGGTATGACAACTCAAGATCATCTCGCAGTCTTAGAAATCTAGGCCGACAACCCTTCTAGACCAAGGTTCTCACCATGCATCCTCCTTACCATCTGCATGTGGCTTCTACTACATTTAGATCTCAAGAACTACACTTGGGTATAGATGCCAGGTTCATGTCCTTCAATATTCAGCGATGGGACTGAGGAGAATCAGGATCAGGTTCCTGAAGCCTGCAGCCCACACATTATCTTGACTCTTGGGTAAAACTGAAGCAGCTCACGGAGTCCCAGCTTCTGCTGTATGTCAGGAATCTGGCTGAGGAAAGGAGGGCATTGGCCTGTCTGCGAAGGCCATCAGGAAGCCTAGAACTAAACTGTGAACACGGAGAAGTCTTTCTTGGCAACATGTTACGTTCTGGGGCCTTTCTGAGATCCAGTGGTGCAGAGTATTCGTCCATTGTCAGACACTGTTGTGCTCAGTTCGTGTGAATTACTTCATTTAATCCTCACAACAGCCATAGGAGGCCAGAGACATGACAGGGAGAACCTAGGACGAGTGAGGTTAGGCCCCCTATTCAAGGCCACACGTTTGGTCATTTCGGGGATTGAAGCAGTGGATGAAAGGGACCAGCCTGTCTCTTAGTCCCCACCCTGCCCCTGGCTCCTGTTTCCCTCCAGTGCCACAAGAAAAATCACAGAAGCTCCTACAGAGAATCTTGTATCAGGGCTGTTATCTTAATGTTAAATGGATCACCCCAAACACCAACTCGGGCCTCAGGTGGGTGGCACAAGGCCTTGGCCAACACCTGAGATTCGGAGGGGAGCTTAGGGAATGGCTCACTTCTCCCTTAGGTCAGGATGGAGCTGCTGGCTAGCCATGGGGACTTCGATCACCCAGGGACATGGGTGTTGGGTCCACTAGGTCCTCTTCATGGTCTCCTTGATCCACTTCAAGTAGCGGCATACTTTGGTGTAGACACCAGGCTTAGTGGTAGTGTCACAAGGGACATCGCCCCAGGACACGATGCCCTGCAGGGCACCTCCGCAGACCAGGGGTCCCCCAGAGTCACCCTGTGGGGAGAAAAGGGATTTCCACTTGAGTGGGGACTTCCTGGACTCAGTGGCATCATTTACAGTGGCATCATTTACATCAATCAAAACCTAGTAGCACCCCAACCTAGTTTAACCTTAACTGATCCACCCTAACTCTGAGCCAGCCCAACCCCACAGGACTCACCCAAGCCATGTCCACCCTCATCCTCGTACAATCCTAACCCAATTTAAGCTAAATCTAACTCACTCAGAATCAAGAGGACCTGATTTATCCACCCTCACATCTTGCACTACCCAATCCCCATCTTCATATCTTCTGCATCCTCTCAAAAATCCATGCACCCTATTTCATATTTCCCATCTCAAATCTAGCTCATTTCCATTCTCAGGCCTGGTCTATACTGTCCCAAGCCAACATCCACAAGGTCTACCCCAAACACAGCCCACGTCTGTCCTCATCTCTGGCCCCTGACTCCAGCCACCATCCCAAGTGGCCTTCTCATTTCCACCTCCAAACCTCACCCTAGCACTTTCTGTGGCTCAAAGCAAACAAGACCCAAGCCCACCCGGAGCATGCCCATCCCCCTTCTTCCACCTGATGCCCCCTCTTGGCTCTGACCTCACAGGAGTCCGTGCCTCCGCCCTCCACTGTGGCACACACCATGGTGTCCATCAGGTGTCCTGGGTAGTCCTTGTTACAGGATGCTTGGGAGATAACGCTGATGTTGGCACAGTGCAGGGTGTCGGGCATAGTCACTGGAGAAGACAGTGGATATGGAGCTGTGTGTTCACTTGGCTTTTGGCCCCTGCATCCAGGAGCCAGGAAGGTAAGGCTCCTCAAGGCCCCATATCTAGGCCCATCCCTTCACGCACCTTGTGACTCGGGTCTTCCTGTGGTCCCTGGCTTGTCTGACACCAGGCCCCAGCCGGACACCACGCAGGGCTCACCAGCGTGGGGGCAACGTGTGGGCAGAACCAAGGGTCGCACCTGGGGGGTCAGGCGTGCGGGCCGAGCTAAGCGGAGCAGCATGATGTCATGGCGGTGGCTGTGCGCTTCGTAGCGTGGATGTGGGATGATGCGAGAAACGACCCGCAGCTGCTCGGGGCCATCGCGCGTGCACAGGTTGTGCTCACCCAGGCGCGCTTTCATGAAGCTGTGGAGGCCAGCGGTTGCCCACAAGTGGGGTGGTGAGGAGTAGACAGAAGGTCCCAAGTGGGCAACCTGGGGGCCTTCAACCCTTTGGGAGTCTTCGTGATTCCATTATCTTCCCAGACATCCTGTGATCAGGGGCCCGGGGCATTTCCCCTCAGCGATCCAGGGGTCCCAACTCAGCCTGCAACTCAACCTCCAGGCTAGGACCTTTTCTTCCGCTGAAGCTAGACTTCTCAGATTCCTAGACTCTTGCCCCATTAGGGGCTCAAAAGATGGGCCCTTGCCAGTCTTCTCTTCCCTGCCACCTGAGGGTTCCTCCCCACTGCCGTGCCCCCGCCCCCCAAGCTCTCCTTGCATACAGGGTCTGGCAGTGGGCAGCAGTCAGCACCCAGTGTGGGGTGATGAGGGAAGCCCCGCAGTTGAAGCGGCTGCGCTCGAAGAGGGCCACTTGCCACAGCTGGGAATGGGGCACACACTCTTCGTCTTCCCGCACCTTGTCACTGTCCTGGGCTGCTGGGAGGAGTGGAGCACCACCAAGGACAGGGGCTTTACAGGGTACCCTGCACCCCCAGCACCCTCACCTCCCTGTGCTTTTCATCTGTGTCCTCTTCCCTTTTTTTGGACAGAACTGGAATTGAACCCAGTGGCTTCACACTGAGCTCCATTCTCAGGCCTTCTATAAATACTTTATTTTTCTAAGTGATTAAATTGCCTGGGCTGGGGTTGAACTTTCAGATCCTGCCTCAGCCTCCTGGAGTGCTGGGCTTAGAGACTGTGCAACAGCCTTCTCCAGCTCCCTGTTTCTTAAGGAGTCCTTCCTGTTTACTCAGAAGCCGACTCAGGGATGGCTTTTGCAGCTGCTCCCTGCTGTGAAATGCTAGCTCCCACTCTGCTTGCTATAGGGACCTGGGGGAGAAGGGCAGAAGACCAAAGAAGGTATGGTGTCCTCAGTGACTATGGTGGAGGCAAGGACACTGGGTTCAGTTTCAGATGGGGAGTCACTTGGAACCTGTCACTCAAAATGATTAGAAGGTCACAGCTATCAAGTGAATGAGGGCACTCAAAATGCATGACACTTTGTCTTGCATGACACTTTGTCTTGGCTCTGTATCTCAGCCAAATTCTCTGTACTGTGCAAGACGTTGAGGGGGTTGCACAAGGTCACCGACACACATCGGTGCACAGCCAGGCTTGCAGAC